TTATGACAGATACCAGACTTCAAGTGTGATGCAATCGAGAAGAAGAAGAAGAGTGAATAATTGGAAATATGTTGCGGCTTTGTTTAAATTTCTCTGGAATGAAAATTCATTTACCCTTCAGCACTGAAAAGGTTAAATTATCATTGTAAGTCTGTGCTTGACATTCACGTAAACACAGTCATTTTAGATTGTTTAAGAGGCTGGCTGTTTCAACCCAGCCTGTCAAAGCCAACCGGAGTTGACGATGAACACCCCAGCTGACAGACAGAGATGCTCGATTAAAACAAAACAAAACAATCTAACAATAATCAACCAACAGTTGAACAGAAATACAGTTTTGAGTCAATATGCGTTCAAAATTATTGGTTCCCCACGATTTTCAGTTTGTGACTACAGTCGTTTTTTCCTCTGTAGTCTTCAAATACATATATCCCCCCCAAAATATCCTTCGCCAGCTTTCCAGGCTCGTCATAACTTCACCAGAGCCCCAACTTGAGCCGTACCGTACACTTCAGGATGACAAGGAATGACCTTCATGGCTACGGCAGAGGCTGGTAGTAGTGGCCTCATGGGCAGGCCCACACCATGATACTTGACCCCACCCCAGCAATCTCCCATTTGTGGGTGGTTGGCGGGTGCTCTGGTGTGGTTTGCTCCTTCTTTCCTATCAAACATCTATTATCCTTATCTCCCCTTTTTCTTTTTTATGTTTGTTACTCTCTTGCAACACCTCTAACTCTAATCTTCTGGAGCTCATATGACCTTATGCAGTTGCGAGCGCCGTAAAACCTATACTAAAACAAACAAAAATCTCCCATTTTGTTGTCCGTGACCACCATCTCCCACTTTGTCAGTGACCATCTCCCACTCTGCTCACCTCTCTAGCCTCAACAGCACAAAGTCTGTTTCGACTATCAAGGCACCCCGGAAATAGCGGGTCACAAGAGTGTGACAAACATACAAAAGAAGTAGAGGGAAAGTGACGATAGTAAGGATTAGGACAGAAAAAGTAGCAATTCCCTGTTGCAGTTCTGGAACAGTTATGAGCATGGCACTGATGAATCAGCATATTTACAATTTACAATTCTACTGTGCATAAGAACACACATATATTAAATTAATGTATCCCTTTTGGGAATTGCCTAAAGACATTTCTGTCATTAGCACCGCGCCGGTTTTTTTTTTTTCGTTTTAGTAAGTGTTTTACGGCACTTGCAACACAATAAGTCATAATATCATAATATTATAAGTGCCGAAGATTAGAAGCGTTACAAGAGAGTAACAAACACAAAAAAGAAGGAGGGGAGATAGAGAGGATAGATTTTTTTTTATAGGAAAGGAGCAAACCACACCAAAGCACCCGCCAAACACCCATATAAGCATAATCTAATAACACAAGTTATTGCAATGCGCAGTTTTTCCGGAATAGATTTGTAAGGGTTAACAACGTACATGCCAACCACTTGAACCAAAAGTACAACCACCATCCTCTATCCTGTCTCTAAAGTAATCCTTGCACTCACCAGGACAATGTGTTGTTTGCTGCAGAAAATCAGAGACAGGACGCGGTTGTAAAAAGAGAGAGCAAAGTCTCCGCTTTATACTTCCTTGTTCTCAACAGATTTTTATTTTATTTTATTTCTTTTTTTTGGGGTACGGTAAGTGTTTTACGGCGTTCACAACTGCATAAGGTTATATGAGCGCGTGAGACACACCAGTTGGTAAGATTTTGAATTTTACCCTGGTGGCGGCCGATTTTGGACCACCAAGGGATCTTAAACGTGTGCAACATTTACACGGGACCTCCGAGATTTTTCACCCTTGTCCGAGAAGGCTAGGTGTAGACCTTTCCTACCAGAAAATCAGGGGTGTGGTTGAAAGACAGTAGTCAGAAAGAGCCAGGGAGTAGCAGTTGGAAGGCTACAGAAAGAGTCTGTTGTCCCGTCTGTAAACTTATTACCACCGTGGCTTGCTGGCTGGTATGCCTATATTAATGATATATGACATGTATTTATAATATTATTATTATAGATATAACTAGCTGGACCCCCTTTCGATGAAAGGATTTTTTTTAAAATCGAGTTATTGAGGGACAGTACGCACGGCTAGTGAACGGAAGCCTCACTTGTTTACAACGTCGTCTTAAAAGACGGACTTTCCCAAAATTAGATCTAAACTATTCTAAATGAAACTAATGAAAAACTGAAAATTAAGCTTAGATCTAGATCTAGATCTATACGGGTCCTACACTTTAAAAGTACTCAGTAGTGCGCGAAAATGCGCGATAGTATCGAACGGAAGTACGACTTGAAATAAACAAACCTGCCGGATTTTCTAAAATTACAGAGACAGAAGCGTCGGCCTACAAAAGCGATCGGCGGAATAAAGAAATTTAGCTTTTTGCAGCAAAGCTGTCTCAAAACAGAAAAAAACTAGGGGCGTCATGATCGGGAGAATATTTTAAAGAATCTTTTGACGAAAACAGCATGTCGATCGATGCAGCCATTAAAAAGCCTTTTGAACAGCAAAATTCGGCCACCACAAATAGATAATAGACATCATGTGTCACGTACAGTTTATTATATTATTGTGCTGTGTCGTTTTTGGCTGTCAACCAAGACGGAAGGGGAGCCTATTGGCCAGGTTACCCCCCCCCCCTAGCAAAACCGAACCCCACCCCCAACCCCCCAAACAAAACAACAACCCAAAACTTGAGAGAGAGAGAATGAGAGAGAGAGAGAGAGAGAGAGAGAGAGAGAGAGAGAGAGAGAGAGAGAGAGAGAGAGAGAGAGAGAGAGAGAGAGAGAGAGAGAGAGAGAGAGAGAGAGAGAGAGAGAGAGAGAGAAAGAGACAGGGTGACAGAGAGATAGGATAGAGAGAGAGAAACTGATAGAATGAGAAAGGGAGATAGAGAAACAAGTATGCATGTAGATATAGATGACAGACAGACAGACAGACAGACAGACAGACAGACAGACAGACAGACAGACAGAAAACAAAGAGAGAGAGAGAGAGAGAGAGAGAGAGAGAAAGAGAGAGAGAGAGAGAGAGAGAGAGAGAGAGAGAGAGAGAGAGAGAGAGAGAGAGCGCTTTTGACCTAAGAAAAAGAACCAGGAATCAGACACTACACAACCAGATTTATCATTTATTTTCACAGAAAAAAACAACTAAACAAAAACCTGTTTAGCTTTTACCCCTGATAAAGGAATGGACATCAAATACACACACATATATATATATGTATAATAAATGCACAACTCTAGTCACATGCATGAAGATAATCACAATTAGTGGAGACAGTGGTCTAGTGTTTAGACTATCGAACATGTAACCGAAAGGTCACTGGTTCGGACCCCATTAAGGGGCCATTGTTATGTCCATGGGAAAAGTACTTTAGAAGGTGGTTGGCGGGTGCTCTGGTGTGGTTTGCTTCTTCTTTTCTATCAAACATCTAACGTCTTTATCTCCCCTCCTTCTTTCTGGTGTTTGTTACTCTCTTGTAACACCTCTAATCTGGGGGCTCTCGTGGCCTAGAGGTTAAGGTGTTGGCCTCTCATTCAAAGGTCCCGGGTTCGAATCCGGGTAGCGACCGAAAAATTTTCTTCTCTAAAATTGTCTCCTTTCACCTCCTTTCCTGCTCTCTAGCAATGTTCTGTTGTCTGTTTTCATTTTCACTTTCTGCCCCCACCCCCTCACCTCCTTTGCCCCCTCCTCTGGGCTCCTGACTCTTTCTTCAGCCTTTCTACTGCTACTCCTTGGCTCCTCCTTACTGCTGTCTTTCAGCCACACCCCTGATCTTCTGGTAGGACAGATCTACACCTAGCCTCCACGGACAAGGGCGAAAAATCTCGGAGGGCCCGTGTGCAAGTTGAGCACGTTAAAGATCCCTTGGTGGTCTAAAATCGATAAGAGTAGGCTTCGGCCGCCACCCGGGCAAAATTCTAAATTTCCTACCAACTGAAAATATTAGGAGTGTCCCGCGCACTCATATGACCTATGCAGTTGCGAGCGCCGTAAAACACTTTACAAAAAAACCCCCAAAAAACAACCTCTAATCTTCGGCACTTATATGATCTTATTGCGTTGCAAGTGCCGCACAACTTACTACAAAAAAATACTTTACACAAATCTTCCTCACTTCACCCAGGTGGGAGTGGGTACCCAGCTACAGACAGTGAAAGATCATGTCAGACTGCTAGGGCTTCTATGACCTTATGCAGTTGCGAGTGTCATAAAACCCTCTACTAATTTTAAAAAAAAAAAAAAGAAAAAAAAAGACTGCTAGTGTTTGAGCATTTAATCGGCTGCTTGCACTGTATGCTTCTGGGGAAGCTGAGAATGTTTTTGAATGTTTCTAGGGATAATCATAGTAGTAAAGTGTGTAGAGCATGCTGTTTGTTTGCTTTAGTACAGGTTTTACAGCGCTCGCAACTGCATAAGGTCATATGAGCGCCAAGGAGTGGATGTCAACAGATAAGTCCTAGGAATCAGACTTACTCTGCTCACCTCTCTAGCTTCAACAGCATAAAGTCTGTTACAAGAGTGTGACAAACATACAATAGTTTGACGATAGTAAGGATTAGGAATGAAAAAGCAGCAGTTCCCTGTTGTAGTTCAGGCACAGTTATGAGCATGACATTGTTGGATCAGCCCATTTACAATTCTACTGTGCATAAGAACGGGAAATGTCCCCCCTTTGGGAATAGCCTAAAGACACTTCAGTCAGTGGCACTGCCCCGGGGGGGGGGGGGGGGGGGGGGGTGTAACATGCTGTAGAGCAAGGATATGAGCTGAATAAATGTAATCATTATCTTTATATAATCATGTAAAGATCAATGATTTTTAAATTAGATAAGTAGAGCAACATTCAATATACAGAAATCTAGACATCGGCCTACTGAAGATCGACTATATGAGATAGTGAAGTGATACTTGTCTGTCTGCAAGCGTTTGAGAAATACGAGATTCTGACTCAATTTGAGATTCTCTTATGGTACTTCTAATTAAAAAACAGAATTAATAACATAACACATATATCATCAGCACCATAAAAAAATGCCCAAGTCATTATAATTGAAGATCGACTACATGAGATAGTGAAGTGATACTTGTCTGTCTGCAAGCGTTTGAGAAATACAAGATTCTGACTCAAGTGAAAGTTAAAGAAAAAGAGAGCATCAAAACCATCATAACTAGAACTAGGCACTTCTTGTTTTTTTTTATTGTGGTAAGAACTAGGAAGTAAAGTATAACAAAACTGAATGTAACTAGATCTATGGTACTCAACGGTACTGTGAAAAGCCCCTTCACGTCTTGACTGAAATAAGAGTTTTATATGAAAACCCCAGGAAGTTGATTTGGGTGATTGCAGAATGATACTAATGATATATGAGAGGCATCGTGGTGGAATCTGGCGCTCGTCAAAATAATGAAATCAAAGGAATCTACTATTTCTTTGTCCGATGGGCAATTTTTTTCTAACTTTCTTATTTTTGCTCAACACCTTTTATGTCCATTTAAAAACACATTTTTGAGTGTATTTTACGGAAAAACAACGATTAAAGACACAAAAAACGTAAATTTTCAGGCAAGGGAAGTTAGAAAACTTTGGCGGCCATTTTTTCACTAATTTTATCTCCGAAACCAGGAGACCCTGATCTCCTTCAATGGCAAATATCTCGACTTCTATTCAACAACCATGGGTATTTTTTTCTCCATAAGGAAGGCAAATGAACAGGTTTTAAGACGATACCAATAAGCCCAAATGCCCCAAAACTGACAAGCGCCTGATTCCACCATGTTGTGACACACATAGGAGAGGCAAAACATGGCTAGACATGCTTCCCTGTGTAGGAAGGGTTTGGGTTAGGGTTAGGCCCATGTTGTCACTCTTTTGTACGATGACATTTAATAGGTCCTGTAAGTGTTCTTCATCTTCTGCTATTAGGACTGTGTCGTCTGTATATCTTAGATGACACACATATATATATATATATATATATATATATATATATAATATATATGAGAGGCAAAACAAGGCTAGACATACTCTCCTGCGAAAGAAAAAATTTCAAGACATAGATTCATCTCACCAAGAAGGCCAATGGGATGATAAATGTATGGTAACGTTTGATGAGCACAAAGAACGCGATCAGACGTCCAACTTCATCATGATTTCATTGTTCACTCCGTGGTTTAAATTTGAAATTTAAGTTTAAAGACAATGCTAGTTAAGTTTAAATCATTTTGTCATTCATGACGAAATATGAAAATTTTTCTTCTCCTTTCTTTTGTGACCTCTCATTCCAACTCAGATCAATATTTCGTGACCTCTGTGCTTTCTTGTCCTGTCTCCATTTTTAATGACAGTGAAAACAGTTCGTAACAAAGAGTGAGCTTAAGAAGAAATCACATTTTCAATGTAAATTAAAAAAATGGAGATAAGACAAGAAAGCACTGACATCACGATTTGTTGGACATGATGAGTTATGACATAAGCAACATTGAGAATTAAGAAGCAAACAAGGAAAAGTACATGATCAAACTCTCACACCAAGCTAAATAAGCAAACATCCCTGGTGGTTCCACCATGAAATTATATATGATGCGTGCTGACAAAATGAGTCCCTTCTCGCAGTACGCGGATGGAGACATCGGCCAAAAATCAACAAAGGAGTAAGATTTGTAGATTTTCAATGGATACCACTTCTCATCAAATATATCACATCTTTTATCAATCCATACTGATAAATTGTAGAACAAAATCAACATACAAATTTGAAGTATCTGTGTCCATTAGGTTAAAATTCGAAAAGTATCATTTGTGTCACATTTTGGGGAAATAGAGTTTTATTGGTATCATCTTAAAGCTTGTTCGTTTGCCTTGCTCTCGATGAAAAAATTACCGATGTAGCTTCAAAAGAATTCGAGATATTTGCAATTGAACGAGGTCGGATTGCCTGGTTTCAGAGGTAAAGTTAGTGAAAAAATGGCAGCCAAAGTTTGGTGATTTCCATAGCTTGAAAGTCCTTGGAAACTTAATAATTTACATTTCTTGTGCTTTAAATCAAAGTTCATCAGCAAAATGCACACAAAATATGTGTTTTTAAATAGACAAGAAAGGTGTAGAGGAAAAAAAAAGAATATTATTAAAGAATTGCCCCCCGGCTAAAAAATTGCAGATTTCTTTCATTTTATTATTTTGAAGAGCGCCAGATTTCACCACGATGCCTCACATTTTGTCAGCATCCCTCACAAACAATCACACCATGACAGATGATAAACACCGCTACCAGGAATGCCCACAATTTTCACGCCACTTGAATCTCCACAATGTTCCACAAAACAGCATCTTACATATATCGGTGATAGACGTAAGACTACCTCTTACATTTACATTACAATGAACATGCATAGCTACATATGGAACAAAGCTTATTTTGCCTTTTTTCACTTTGATGAAACAGAAAAATGCTGAACTCCGGAAAAATCCTGAATACATTGTAAAATATATATGATCATCATTGAAGCCTAAAAGCATCCGCATAAAGCCGCAATTCCCTCTTGCTCCTCTCCAACATCAGCATCCCAAAGTCAGTCACAGCCAAATTGTTCATAAATAACACACAAAGCAATTCTATTGCTCCTGTCATATTTGATAATTCCGGAACTTTTGCAGCAGAGTGTTGGTGGTGTCTCGTTCCCAGCCTGGCACAGGTTGATTGCTTCTCGTAGGATCTGTTATAGTCACAAGAGGAGAAAAAAAAACCCCCATTAGAAATACAGTTTTGTTAGTTTTAGTAGGGTAAAAAGTTTTGTTTGTTTCAGCAGAGGTCTTACGGCGCTCGCAACTGCATAAGGTCATATGAGCGCCAGAAAATTATAGGTGTTACAAGAGAGTAACAAATATAAAAAAGAAGGAGGGGAGATAAGGACGATTGATGTTTGATAGGAAAGAAGAAGCAAACCACACCAGAGCACCCGCCAACCCCCCACTAAAGAGTTTTACGGCACGTGTAACACAAATAGGTCATATATATAAGTGCCCAAGATAGAACTGTTACAAGAGAGTAACATAGACAGAAAAGAAGGCTCGGAAGAGACATAGGGGCAATGCATGTTTGAAAAGAAAGAAGGAGCAAACCACACCAGAACACCCGCCAACCACCCACTAAAAATACATGTAAATAATTTATAAAATAAAGCACGAGTTTGGAGAAGTAATACAGAGAAACAATAACAACTAGGAAATGTAAAGATCATTTCTTTTACACATCATTACTTTGAAAACAACGTAAAAATCTACTTGGGGAAAAAAAAATAATCCTGGGACATAGTCTTCTTCAGGCTTTTCCTAATGTGTTTATTAATTGGCATGAAGTCAAAGCAAAAATTATAGTGAAAATTCAAACGTATATATATATGTAAAAGATATAATGGTGGAAAAAAAATAGGACTATTAGTAGACTCCCTTCAATATGAGACTCAGATGAAAAGTTATTTCTGAAAGACTCTTTGTTTTTAATAAGAGATGAAAAGATCTTACAAATTGCACAACATAGGGGCACACACACACATTATTATTATTATTATAATAAACTCAGTTGCATTCAGAATAAATAAATACAGTCATCAGTTGGAACTTGCCTGTTGGAAAAACTTTAAGGTCACTTTGCAGCAATGGATTCGTCGAACCAGGTGGTCCAGGGTGTTGTGGTGTGACAGAGGTACAAACTGGAGTCTTTTCCGAGCATGATGACTTTTGAGGGTGCTCTAAGGCAGTCTGTGGTTTCACAAAGCCCCAGTGCATAGACTGAAACACACAGGATAAGTAAGAGTAATAAATAAAGTGCTTTTTAAAACCAAAATACAGAGGCAAAAACGAGATTGGTAATACAGTTTTCATTCACAAAATTCTTTAAAGAGAAATATAGATCTAGTACAGTATGCATACGCAGCAAAATTGGCTTTGGTATTTATACACTGCATCCACAGTTCAAGTCACATGTATTCTACAATGGAGAGTGCTTAAACTGAACACAGTTTATCCAAAAACAGTGGAAAACCAAAATCAAATAAAATACCTGATTAAACTTTAAAAATTTTTTATTTACGGGGGGAGAACCTGTCTAAAGCGAAAAGAAAGTCCTGCTAAACAGAAAGAAATCTAGCAGGCTTGCAAATTTTTATTAAAGTGGACACCATTGTATTTTTTTGTAGAATAATAATAAAGTAACAAATCAACACAACATTAAAGGTAATTTACAGTTCATAACAAACAGTAGACAGAAGACAGAAGTATCTGACAAAGGAAAATATAAGAACCTGCCACTGGCTTCTTACATCTACAATTACACACATTCTGTTTTTGTATAATAAGAAAATTTGACACATACACATATTGCAAACTAACAACGAGAAGTGAAGGGCTGAGTGACATGAAGAAAGACAAAAAGACTTTCCCTATTCCTCCCTCAGATAGCCTTACTGAGCATAATTGAAGATTTCACACAAAGAGAATTTAAGTTTATGGAAAGGAATTTATAACAAAGTACAGTTGAACCTGCTCTACTAACCACCTGTCCAAGACTATCACCTGTCCAAGCCAACTGCTCAGTGTAATAGTAATAGTCTTTCATACGTTACTTTTCAAAATGGTGTAAGATAAGACAAGATAATAATAAGAAAAATTTCCCTCTGGGACAATGGAGATAAGATAATGCTTTATTGTCCCAGACACAAATTTTTCTTAGCTGTAGGCCTACAGGACAATGAACACATGCAGGTATACATAAGAATTAAATTATGTATTACTCATGTAGCCTAAATATCACATCAGATGCATCATTCAACCACAGGCAGGAATTTCATTAGGAAGATCTTCAGAATTATATAGATACATACTCGAAAAAGCAATTCACATTCGTGATGTTTCTTCTGACAGAAGCCTTATACTAGATGGTAAGAAACTTCTTTTGGATCTTACTTTCTTTGTTTTTAGAGGTACACATCTACCGCAGGGTGATCTTACAATTGGCGGAGTCTTACACTAAGCAGTCAAAACGACAACTTCGTACTTTTTCCCTTCCATTTTTCCTAAACTATAATGACACTGTTCAAGACATCCACCTGTCCTATAATTTATACAGATGGTTCAGTGAAAAGAGATAGCCAGAGAAGTGGATGGGGATTTGCTGCATCCGCCAACAATAAAATCATACACAGTGCATCTGGAGCCTGCAGCAGGGCTACATCAAGTATGCGAATGGAAATTGAAGCCATCACGAAAACACTTGATTGGATGACCCAAGATCGCCCCCACACAACCCATGCTGTCCTTATCACTGATTCCATGTGTACCCTCAGAAGGATCGAAAAAGGTGTCCTGACAACGGAATGGATTCAAGCTATCGAACCAACGTCTATACGATCGCTCACATGGATTTTCTGCCCTGGCAATGCAGGTGTTAGGGGAAATGAAAAAGCCGACAGATTGGCTAGTGAGGCCACCTTAGTTGACAATACGGTTCAACCAGATAGGGTCGAGATCCTGAAATGTCTTTCTCGCCAACTGATTGAGGAGGAAAATAGGGAGGCAGAGGCCAGTACTGCCGTGGAGAGG